AAGGCGACAATGGAAGAAGGTGAGGGAGCAATCTTGAAAAATATCTGGGCGAGAGGGGCCAGCTAAGCCAAAGCTCCAAGGAGGGCAGTGCCTGGTGTGTTAGAGGAAGAGCAGGGGACCTCTGTGGTTGCAGCCAAGTGAGTGAGAGGGAGGAGTGTGAGGTGAGAATGGCGGGGGTGGGGGGGTGTAGAGGGGAATGTGAGATTTTGTGTAAGAGAGGGAACAGATTGCAACTCTCTGGGATCATAGGGAGGCTTGACAGGCCAAGGTGGTGTGTAATCACCATCTGGAAGGATAAGCAGGAGTCCGCTGTGACGAGTGGAGGTGGCGTATCCAGGCACTGCCAGGAGTCTGATGTGGTCCTCATGGGAGAAGCGGAGGTGAGCTGGGAAAGGAGGGCAGGACTGGACCAGGAGGGGCTCTGACCTGGCTTCTGTCAAGGAGGCCGAAAGTCCCCACTTTGCCAGAGCCGTTGGTCACTTCTCAGACTGTGTCACACTCAACCCATCAGCAGACTTTGCCAAACTGCTCTTCTTTGTAACGCTTTTATTTCTTGACTTTGGGGGTGCTGCTCCCTCAATTTCTCTCCATCTTTTCTGCTAGCTCCTCCTGCTGTTTTTCCTACAATTATTACTATGTCCCAGGCTCTCTTCCCTTGTCACAGTATTTCTAATACATGTGACAAGATGCTTATATGTGACCTGACTGGCTTGGCTCAGTCGGTTGGGTATCATTTTGCAGAGTGATAGGTCGCAGGTTTAATTCCCAGTCAGGGAATGTGCCCGGGTTGCTGCCCGGTCTCCAGCCCCGCTGGTACATGTGAGAGGCAGCTGGTCCATGTATCTCTCTCACATCAATGTTTCTCCCCCCTTCTTTCTCCCTTCTTCTCTCTCTAAAGATAAATAAATAAATCTTTTTATTGAAAAGATGCTCACATGTAACACAGGCTGAGTATTGTTACACCTTGCTGAGGTGCTAGATCACTGACAATAATGCTGAGAGACTGTGAGATCTTTCTGCCAGGATTAGCCCATCACCTGCCTCACCATTGTAATAAATTGAGGTGGAGGATGCTGCGAGATTGAAAAGAGATGTTAATGTGCTGTGATATTTTCCATCGGGTCTCAAGAGAACTCCTTGGAGAGCTTACCATTTGTGCCCTGGAGTCCGAGGCCACAGAATGGAGTGTTATGTTTACCGAAAGAAGTTTAAAGGCCTGAGAAAGAGGCCAGAGTGGCTCATCTGGAAGCAGAGCAGAGAGAGCTACATAGGGGAAGGCCTGTCCTGCCTGAGCAAGACACCATTGCCTGAACCCCATATGGATAGTGGGGAGAGCTCCTGGGGTCATCTTAAGGGCACCTGCCCAGTGAAACCCCTAGAGGTCCACATGACCTGGCCAGGGGGTGCCTCACTGAAGCCCACGCTGAGGGAGAAGATGCCCAGCTGGAGGAGGGAAGGGCACAGGGATCCCCCAGTGGAGGGATCTTCCAGAACCCACCAAAGTGCACCAGGGAGGGAGGGCCAGCCCTAGTGCACCTGCCATCCCAGGTACCAGCCACAGACAGCGAGGTACCACCCTCAGAAGACTATATAGTCTTGCTCCCTCGTTTGTCAGCTCCTGGGTTTAACCTGGGAGGATCTGAGGCAAAGGAATAAGAGAGGAGAAGGAGCTGGAACATAGTGAGAAAGACAACCTCCACCCCTTCTACCTGCTGTCACACGCTGGCTTCCCACAGTCCTGAAGGCCTGAGACAGGCAAGCTCTAAACTGGATCCAAGTTTGAGAGTTTGGGTTTTCAAACCAGGCTGGGCAGGAGTTATTTGATTACCAGACTGAACTGGACTCTTTGTTCCAAAACAAGAGGTTCTCTATTATCTGAGAATGAGTGGAAAAGCTATAAGACTTGCCTAAAATTTCATCTGGGGTGGGAAAAAGAGCTTACAGATGAAGTTTAAAGGGATAGTGTAAGTAGCGGGTTTATCAATAAACTAGTTACACCAGCACCAATGCAGCAGGACTAAAAGATTGTCTCTGAGTATCGAGACAGGTGTGGACAAAGACAGAAAGAAACCTCGGAGCCAGGGAGGCACTGTGGTCCAGGCAATGTGGCCCATGGCCTGAGGACAGGTGGCTCTGGAGGTGGATGAGCCACCATAGTCTGCAGCTCACAGGCTGAGGGCAATTGGGAAAGGTCTCCTTGGAACAGCTGGGGACAAAATGAGAGGCCCTTTCCCAGTCAAGGTGCCCGTCAGGAGCAGGATGTGGAAGCTGCTCAGAGGCGGATGAAGACTCCTGGGGAGTCTGTCAGGTGAAGGTAGGAGGGTGGGATTTCTCTCCTGGGGGCCTGAATGCTGAACCTGAGGCTGTGGACAGTCTCCTTTGAGAGTAAGCTCTTAGATGCCAAGCTGCCAAACCAACCTCTTGTGGAAACCCTGACCTGAGGTGAGGGGCTTCCCCTGGGGGCTGCAGGCGCATTGGCTTCATGCTAGCTAGAGGCCCAAGGAGTGGTCAGGGGTGGCGTCCCGGAGTTGCTGAAGATGGCAGCAGGATTAGCCAAATCCAGGAAGAGGAAAGGACACTCAGGTGCTTCTTGTGGACTCTCTCCTATTGCAAGTAGACATCAGCACTCTTTTGAGGACTTAGATTTCTTGGGCCCAGCTCTGAGGAGCATTTGAGGAGCCACCGGATTAAAACAAGATGTGTTTTCCTGGTGCCCGTGTGCTGTGTGTGGAAAAGAGCGGTGTCTGCGGCACCAGCCCCTCCAGCCTTGAAGGCGGCATGCCAGGGAATTCTTCTTGGGTGAGCCCTCTGTGGGGACGGCAGCAGAAAGTCCAGGCCTGTCTGTCCTGTGGATGGAACACCTGCCGTGTCATTTGGGAAGGTTGGCACATCCAGGTCTTTCAGAGCCAAGCCTTGCGTGACCCAAGCCCCATAACTGGCTGCTGTGTCCAGAGGTGATTCTGGGAGTAGCTGCCACTCCCAGTGCCAGATTGGGACTTAGGAGCCATGTGTGTTGTGTCCGCAGTAGGGCCCCTGGGGTGGGGCACTGGGAACTCCCTGGAGAGGACAGCGGTTTAGGGAGATACCTAAAAGGAGGGGCATCAGCCTGACTTCCCGTCTGATGCCTGGGTGCTCTCCGCACCATGTTCCTCACCCTGCCCCAACCCCCACCTGCACCCTCAGTGTCTGAACACCTCCTAGGCAGTCCATGCCACCTCCGGACTGTGACAGTCACTCATCATTTTGAGCTGAATTTGACTTCTTGGCCCTGGTTCTGTTTTCTGGGCTGCATAGGACAGGTCAGTTCTCTTGTCACCATATTCTCCCTGAATTCTCTCTCCAGAATGATTATCTCTATCACCTTTGGCCCCATTGGACATGGTCCCTTCACTGTTCCCTTCTGAGTTCTTCCGACAGTGCGTCCCTCTGACATTGAACTCCAGTCCTGGGGTTCAGGTCCTCTGGTTCAACTGCTTATGCAAGACTCCACCTAACCCACAGAGAACTTTCTGCTGACATATGGACCAGCTACTCTAGCCCAGGCTTTAGTACTGGTTGTCCATGCCCTGGGCAAGCCCCTGTCTGAGAGTAGGCCATCCTCTGACCACTTCATCCTCCGTAGCTCCTCCTCTGCTCTTGTAAGACCCATTGCCATCCCACCACCATTGAGAAAATCACTGCCAATTATATTATGACTGCCAGTGTTTCATTTTCACATTGTGTGTAGCTCATCCCTAGTGTGAAAAAATGTCATAGAAGAGATGAAATATGATAATACAAACTGTCTCACGATGTGAGTGAGGACTAATGAGAAAATGCATGTCAAGTGCTTAGCACAATGTGAAGTGCAGTAAACACTCAATAAATGCCACCTGCTTTTATGTGAACCCTCCTGCAGCTCACCACACAGTCTCTGCCCACCTCTCCGGCCTCACGCCACACGACTGCCTCAGGGGCCCCTGTCCTGAGCTGTCACTGCCTTTGGAAAGCCTTGCCTGCCCACCCCACCTTCTATGCAGCCCCCCCACCTTCCACAAGGTTTCCTGCAACTAATACTCCTTGTGCGGTTTGCTTACTCATCTGCCACCTTCCCTAAAATGTGGATTTCTGAGAACAGGCACTGTTACATATTTCTGTGTCTCCAGGACTTAGCACAGTGCTGCAACATGATAGAGGCCCAAGAAATGTTTGCTGAGTGAGTGATACTTTTCTCATGTGTCATATTACCTGAATTTGCATAGTGCTTTATCACTTAACAGGCTTTTCAAAAAACAGTTTCCTCATTCCACGGACCTGAGCACATCAGGACAGGTGGCAGTGTCCTTATGACTAACTGTATCGGGAAAAACCAGGCACCTGTTAAAGGATGCACCTGAGTGTACGGAGCCTGGTTAGCGACCCAGCTGGCAGCAGAGCCTGGCTCTGGAAGGTGATAGGCCCTTGGCTGAGAACAGAGGTGGTGAACTCGCAGCCTGCTGGTCACGTGTGGCCTGTGGATGTGCTTTGGCCTAAGTATTGTTTTCTTTTTTTTGGAAAACACAAATAAGCTGTGAACACTTAAAAAATTAAGAGATTTTATACAGCAATTTCAGTCACAAGCATCTGTTAACCCTGAGCTTGCATGTATATGTGGACAAGAGCTGGCAGGGGCTGAGAGGCAAGACTGTGCTCCACTCCTGAGTATCACCCCTTCTCACCATGTGATACCCACATGTCTGGAACTGGTAGGTATTTAATTTGTGACCTCTGCTTAGAGAAATGGTCCTGCCAGTGAGGATTTAGGGGCTCATAGTTGTGTCTGTGGCACTTAGTTTGGTGCCTGGTACATCTTCAGCCACCCCCCCCCCCAAACTGGTGGAGCAGGCAGAGTGGACCTCCAGGGACCCCTGCCTCAGTCGTAGTAACCCCAGCTTCAGCAGGGACTTGGGGCCAGGCCCTGCCTTGGCCCTTGTCCTCGGCCTGGAGGCAGGGGGGTGAAACAGCATCTGTCTCCTCCTCAGGACAAAGGGGATGTTGGAGCCAAGGAACTGGACAGCTTGAAGAGCGATCGACTGAGAACTGTTCAGCTCAATGTCTGCAAAAGCGAGGAGGTGGAGAGAGTGGTGGAGATTGTCCGCGCGAGCCTGGAGGACCCTGAGAAAGGTAGGGGGCGCCTTGGGGCAGCGAGGCGCTGCACAGGAGCCCTTTCTAAACACCACCCTCTATTTGCAGGTTTCCTGCCAAAGACTGCTTTCTTTACTGTTCAAACTCCTGCACAGTAGGTTAAATGGCACACACTTTGCAACCAGGCAATGTGAAGTGAAGCCAAAGGTGATTTCAGAATCTACAGGATTGATGAATGGATGTGCTTGTCCGGGTCAGCTTGGCCAATGCCCACAGAAGGCCCACACAGAGCCCAGAGCTGGGCCTATGGGTCGGGAACACAAAGATGGCCAAGACGTAGTCCCTGACCTTGAGAACGTCACAATTCACTGGGGGACTAAACCAGGTGATTTCCAGGTCCCCTCTTGGGGAGCAGCATAGGACAGAGGGACTGAACACCTTGGGGTGAGCTGGAAAGGGGGCCAGTTAGGGCAGACTGTGGCAGAGCGCTGGCAAGGGTGTTCCAGGAGGAGGGGAGCCCGCGAGTAATGGCGGGAAGCACACAAGGTGTGCCAGGGGGCTACAGTCAGGGGTCAAGTCTGATGAAGCTGATGGCAGCAAATTAGGTTGGGAGGGAACTTGTCCAGGGCCTGCGGTGCCAGGCAAGGGAAGTAGCCACTCTCTTGAGGGCAGTGGGAGCCACCGAAGGGGATTTCCTGAAGGGAATGACCTGGTCAGACTTGTGAAAGCTTGCTCTGGGGCCTGTGCTGACAGTGCGGAGTGGATTTAAAGGGACAATATAGGTACAAGAGCCCTGAACGAGGGCAGTGAGTACTGGGGAAGAGGAGGATCAGATGCAAGTGCTGAGAAGACATAGCTGACTGGACTTGGAGACTGATGCATATGAGGATGAGGGAGAGACAGGAGGGCTCTGTCCTGGACACGTGGTACCCCCGCATGGAGGGGGTACCCCTCCATGTGAAGATGCTAAAGTGCCCAAGGAACACCCTGGGGGGAGTACCTGGGCTGATATCAGGTGTCCAAGGTTGGAGGCAAGACTTGGAAGGGGGGAGATGCAAGGATGGTCTACTGGGGAACATGAGCAATTAGGTACCAGAGAAGGGGAAGCGACAACTGTCAGAGAGGTTGGGGAAGTGCCCCAGAAGCCCAAGGGGCAGAAAGTTTGGGAGGCAGTAGCCAACGTGGGCATACACTACAGAAAGTTTCCATAACACAATGACTCAAGTGTCCTCCCAGTTCAGCCCGTGGAGGACCCTGGTGGGTGGGGCTCTATTGTGCATCAGAGGGGAGGGGACGCCATTCATGGAGAAAGCAGCGGCGGTAGCTGGTGCTGCCTGGGGAAGCCAGTTTGGTCTGCTGACTTCATCTATGGCATCGACCTTTGAGCTTCCCAACGGCCCGAGTGGAAATAGGATGCCTCATTCAGCTCTGCTTTCCCCCAGAATGGGGTGGGGGTGGGGACAGCTCTCCCGAGCAGTGACTTCAGTTGCTGGCAGTGGGGAGGGAAAAGGGTGTGGTGACCAGGGCCTGTGCTGGGCACTGTCAGTCAGGTGGGCATGCTGTTGTTCCTGGCACCTACCTTAGCAGCTCCTGTGCTGTGTGGATATTAGAAAAGCTGTTGCTCTGGTGGCCAGCCTGTCACTGATGCGTCACCTTGTCAGCCCAGTGCCATCCCCACCCCACAGCAGGCATTCCCAGGCCTCTCTGCTCTCTAAGGGGAGGCCTGTGACTTCCAGAATGTCTGTTTAGCAGTTACCAGGCAACCCAGGGCTCCTAACCCATTAAGAAAGTCTGGATGGGAACTCCATTGGGATGATTGCCAGTGCAGACGATGCAGCCTGCTTCGCCCCCTCTTCGTGGTCAATCCTTCTCCTCTCCGTCTTCCCTGGCAGCTGGGTTGCTGCCTTCATAAACTACTAGGCAGAGAAACAGCTGCAGTCAGCACCATGAAGCCACTTCATTTTGGCCTGTGGGTTTGTAGTGGTTTAAAATGCCTGTATAAAGGAATCATCACTGTAGAACTGAGCATAACATGGAGTTGCACCAAGTCTGGGGGCTGCTCAGGGGATCCTTGTCCCCTCCCACCAGGGCAGAACCACCTCCATTCCCTGCGTTGGTTTGAGCGGATAGCCTAACCAGCAAGCGCAGAGTGTGAATCCGGAGCCACGAGGGCGAGGCACACAAACCACTGTCCTTGGATGGTGCTCAAACCCCAATACCACCCTGATGCAAAACCTTTCCCAGATGCTTTTTCCTCATGACCTGTTCCAGTGAGGGTTGATAAACCATTCAACATGAGCTTACTTAACCAAAACTGCATTTAAGGGGGAAAAAAAGTTGAAGGTTTCTAGGTCTGAAAAGAAAATAAATCTGAGAGGTGTATGTTCGTACAGGTCTCCCCCTCCCCCTCCCTTCTCCTTCCCTCCCAGCTGTCCCCTGCCTCTTTCCCAGGGCTGTGCTCTTGGTAGGTAAAGCAAGCAGCTCTAATTCTCCCCTGCTCTGGCAGTACTGTCTCTGAACTCCAGGTGGCACCCCCCAAGAGTTTTCAGACCAGTTCATGGTTCTTAAAGGGGTGGCAGCTTCAGACTCAGCCTCTGCTGGAGCAGGAAGCTCCCCAGAGACAAGTGGAGGGCACATTTTGATGGCCAGTTTGGTGCCCTTCACCCTGGCTCAATGGAACAGTTGCTGCCAAAGCCAGGGGAGCCAGTCTCAGGGGTGAGATGAAGGGGATTTTCTGCTGCAGCTGTGAGCCAGCGGCCACCAGTCCCTTTGCTCCCCAGCAGGACTCCAAGGGACTGGACATCTGGAGCACGTGACTCCCACCCCAGGAAAAGGCCGAGTGCGTGGGCCTACTAGCAGGCTGTGAGCATGATCCAATCTCGAACCACTCCCCTCGCAGCCAGTAAATATTTATGGAGTACCTGCTGAGCACCAGGGGTTTGCCCTGGCAGAAGGAGCTAGCAGTTGGACACCAGCCCAGTGGAAGCTGGCAGTTCATGGTAGAACCTGTGGGGAACTGTGCTAGCACAGGGACCTTATGCCATGGGCAGGGAAGACCATGTTGTCTGGGATACCCCTGGTCTGGGAGTGAGAAGACTGGCTTTTCTCTGAGGTTCACCTCTCACTACAAATGTAACCTTGGGATTGTGTATTCACCTGTGCGGGCCTCTGTTTGCCCATCTGTGAAGTGGGGAAGGTGCTTTGCTAGCCATCCAGAACTCATACTTAGACCTGTCTGCTGCTCTCAAGCTGAGGAGTGGGGGAGCTGCACAGAGCCAGGAAGCAGCAGAGGCGGGAGGGGCCACGATGTCAGGGAGCAGCAGGCTGGCGGGCCTTCATGGAGGAGGACTACTTGAAGGGGAGTGGGTGAGAAAAGCCTGGAAAGACTGGCCGTGCCCTGCTGTGGACGGCAGCCTCCGGAGCAGGGAGTGACTGGCAGAGGCACCTCCAGTTAGAGAGGTTGGATCAGGGGGGAGGTGGGGAAGAGACTGGGACAGGGAGACACAGGAGAAGCTTCTCCGGTGGTACAGGAGGGAGATATGGCAGGACCCAACCCATGCCGTGGACACAGGAAAGAAGACATTGATTCCGGTGACACCACAGAGGAAGCCAAACAGCAGCACCGGGTTAATCGTCAGGACCGTGTCTTCACACGGGCCCGGACCCACATTCTGTCCTGTCCCCTCACTGTCGGTAACTTGAGCAGGGCACTCCACCTCTCTGAGCCTCAGCTGCTTCATTCGGACATCGGACAATTTAATATCTACTTTATAGGTTGGTTGTGAGGATCAGGTGAATTAACAGATGCAAAACGTTTAGGTCAGGGCCTGGCAGCTGCCCTTTTGATCTTTATCAGTAACGTTAACAGTACTCGTTAGGTGGGGGGAGAGACAAAGGACCTGGAGGAGTCAAATATGAAAGTGGAACTATGAACAAGGAGGAGGAGCGGGGTTGGGCAGCTGGGAACTTGATATACTGGTTTGGTTAGGGTGTGCTGGGGAGCGGTGGGACGCTCAGGTGAAACGGACTGTCAGGAAGAGGAGACTGGGGTTAGGAGAGAGCCATGTCTCCGAGGGGTACATGGGGCCCCTCCACAGAGGAGTGAGGGGGCCGCCGCAGGAACACAGCTGCCGCCCAGACCAGCAGGGATGTCATGGGTTTACTCAGAATGTGGGCCAAGGACTCAGGCGAGCTCCTGGGCCCACACACTGTCCCTGCTGATCAAGGCCACGGAGCTGTCATCCAGGAGCAATGTGCTTTCACAGGTCAAGCGCAGTTAAACTTTTCGGATATCAGTGTCAGCTGTAAATAACGTTAGACGGAAAAAAGATGATTTTGGGGGTGTGTGTGATATCGCCCCATACAAATCGAACACAAAGCAGCTGGAAAACTGCATGAACATAAAGAAAATGAGGCTGCTTGAGCCCCAAGTGTGATTTCAGAGGAGGCAATCTAGGACCAGACACCTGTGTCTTGGTGGGGCAGGCAGAAGAAAGGTGGCGAGGAGGGTGGAGGAGACTCGTGGGTTTTATTAATGCCAAGGGGGGAGTGAGCATCAAGAACAGTGAGCAGTACTCATGCTGTGGAGAAGCTGAAAGCAAGGGCAGAGTTTGGTGTCCTTAGCATGCAGCACCCTGGGTCCCCAGAGCAGTGGTAGGCTGGGAGCCAGGGTGCCCGCGAAGTGGGACGCTGCAGAGCTGGTTTGTGTTCTCAGAAGCCTGGCTGCTGAGGGACAGGGAGTAGATGCCTGAGGGAGTAGCACGGTTACGAGAAGGTTCTTTAGGATGTGGAGACTTTGTATTTGCATTCACCTGACAACCATTTATTAAGCACCTAATGTGTACAACCTTGAAGGGAAGGAAATAGGGGCAGTGGAAGAGTTGAAGTTGCAAAAAGGAGAGAGGACCAACAGCTTACCATTGAGAAGGTGGGGGGGTTAAGTGTCAGCCTCACCAAGTGGTGAGAGACGCTTCCTAGAAAGGGGGTGGGGGAATGACGGAATTATGCAGGGCTGGACTGCAGCTGTGGGGGCTATAGTGGCTGAGTCAGTGTTCACAGTCAGGTCACCAGTGAAATCTGAGAACAGGCTTTAACACTTGCTGGGGAGTGGGAGTGAGAACTCCATGAGTACTATATTAACCAGCAATTTCCTTTCCCTAATAAGTGTCCTTAACTCCCCATAATTGAAGGAGAAGACACCAGAGGTCAGTTGACAAGGCTTTAATTTGGGTAACACGGAAGGGAAGCAGCTTGAGACCAATTACTCTGTCATTTACACAAAGTCCATGATTAACTCAGAAGCAAGCCAGCCAGGGTTCCCTGAGACAGCCCCTGGGAGGGCAGCCCTGCCCTGAGGCTGCTGCACCAAGACAGGGGCTTTCATGGGCACTGGAGACTGAACCCTGAGGGTCTCCACACCAAAGTGGCAGGGCCCTGTTCTGTCCTGAGGCTCTGGCCTGTCCTGTCCTTGCATCCCAAAAACCAAACTCAAAGGGGGCCCTGTAAAACATGGCTGCCTCCTCAGCACCACTTTCCCCAACTAGCTTCTGCTTCTAACTTACTGGCACACTGAAGCCAGTCTTTTCCCCTCCGGGCCTCTGTGTCCCAAGTTGTAAGATTAGTTATCAGACTAAACGGCCTCTAAGGAACCTTCTAGCACCAGTGTTCTGTGTCTGTAAAGGCCAGCTGCCCCTTTGCTGGTCTTACTGGAAACAGTCAACCCAGGTATATTGGGAGAACGTGCATTTGCTCTGACCCTGTGCTCAGCCCCCACAGGACCACACAAGTCTGAGGCATGTTGTGTACCTGCAAAGACCAGGTGAATACAGATGAGTTAATGATGAACAGGTTACTGGATCACAGGGGCTCACCAAATGATAACCAGCAACAGTGCATTGTTAGGAGAAGGGAGGTCAGAGCATGGAATCATGGTTAGGTGGGTCTCAGGGTGAAGCAGGATTGGGGGCCAAACCTGAGATCAAGGCTTGGCTGAGCCTCTTACTTGCTGTGTGACTTTGGATGCGGGGTCAGCTCTCTGGTCTTCCAGAAGAGCTTGGCCTGAAAGGCTTCCGAGTTTCCCCTGGCCTCCAGCAAGAGGGAAAATGCCAGCGAAGGTTCAGAGGCAGGGATAACACACAGCTGCCTGGGCGAGGAGCATGGGGCTGAGCCTGTGGGGCTGGAATAGAGTGGAAGTGTGTGAGGTGAGGTGGGACTCCAGGCTAGGGGCACCAGCAGGCCTGGTCATGATGGGCCCAGAGGCTCAATTAAGGAGGAAAAAAAGATAAGGATTGGACCGGCTAGACTAAGGGAGGGTGACAGCCAGCACTATCTGTCTCCTGTTTTCTTTGGTGATTCTAGAAGGTGTCCCCAGAGCCTTGGGAACAAAGCTGGCAAGTCATGGGGAAAAAGGATGAAAGCGGGGAGGAAAGTGGGCAGCAGGCTGATGGGTGACGTAACAGGCGTGGTGACCTCAGTTCTGCACCCTCCCATCCAGGCATGTGGGGCCTGGTTAACAACGCAGGCATCTCAACATTCGGGGAGGTGGAGTTCACCAGCATGGAGACCTACAAGGAGGTGGCAGAAGTGAACCTCTGGGGCACAGTGAGGGTAACAAAATCCTTTCTCCCCCTCATCCGAAGGGCCAAAGGTGAGTTGGAAAGGGACCTCCCTTCTGCCCCCTGGACCTGCCCCACAATTTCATCTTTGCTCAGAATGGGAGTAGGTCACAGCAGATCTAACACCCGCAGCCTAGTGAGGCTGAGCACATGACTCCCAGGGGCCGGTGGGACCTGCGGGTGGTGGTGAGTGGAGGAGCCATTGCCTGGCGGGCAGAAAGGGATGTGTGGTTTTCATCAGGTATTTCAGATTTTCCCTGGCTGGTGTGGACCAGTGGTTGAGTGCCGGCCTGCAATTCAAAGGGTCACTAGTTAGTTCAATTCCCAGTCAAGGCATAGGCCTGAGTTGCAGACCAGGTCCCCAGTAGGGGGCGTGCGAGAGGCAACCACACATTGATGTTTCTCTCCCTCCCTCTCTCCCTCCCTTCCCCTCTCTAAAAAATAAAATCTTAAAAAGAAGGTATTTCAGGTGAAAGGCAAGCAATGCAGCGTATGAGAGATAGTTTATGCAGCAAAGGATCCTACTCTGGGGACCTAATCTAGAGAAATAACCAAACTCATGTACAGAACTTTGTATATATCATAGTATCGGTATGGGAATGGTTAGGTAGATATTGGTATGTCCATTCGAGTGTTACTATGCCATATTTTTAAAAAATGAAACAATTGTGCGAATAAGTAAAAAATAATGAGATTAGAAATTTGGAGAGCACAAAATGCCCAAACCATGTTAGGCAGCCAAATGTAACCAAACCACCTAAGAACAACAAAGATGACGGCAAGAAGGGAAGATCCATGTGATCTCTCCCAAGGTCCCAGCAATGATAGGATGAACCCACAGGGGCTAAGGATTTTAGAAGAACCCTTCAGTGACTTCCAGCTTAAAGGTTTCTGAAAGAAGACTCTCATAGGGCCCAGGATAGGGCTGTGCCTTTACTTCCTGGGTGCACACCTAGGGTAATCAGGTCCCAGGTCTGCCTGGCTGTCTGTCTGGAGGGGCTGGACCTGTGGGAGGGCTGCTTGGAGTCATCACTCTTTTCCAGTGCCTGAGACTCTGCTGACATGTCCTAGTCCTGCAGACAGGTTCAGAACCCTGCCCCTGCCCTTGCCCCTCCCTGCTGGCTGAGAGAACGCTGCCAGGTGATAACATTTTGGGGGGAAGCTACAGCGGGAGCGGTGAGACACAGCTTAGTTGTGTGTTGCGCATTATACTGTGCCCTCCTGGTATGCAGGCCTGGTTCTTGCTCATTTCTCCTCCCCTGTTCTGCCCAGTACAGCCGGCTACCTGGAGAATATCAGGATTGTTGATGCTGATGTGTGGGCCTGAGCTGGCCTTGAGTATGACCAAGAAGGCCCCCTGACCTTGGGTGGTGCAGAAGGCCAGGCCCTCACCTGGCAGGCAACAAAATAAGTATCAAGGGCCAGGAGACCAGGGTCTAGCCAGGTCTCTAGAAACACGCCAGGCACAGGCCCTCTGCCCCACCAGGCAGTGCCTTCTGAGCAGGTGCTTGCTGTCTTCCTCTGTAGGCCGCGTCATCAACATCGGCAGCATGCTGGGCCGCATACCTTATCCAGCCCGCTCCTCATACTGCATCACCAAGTTCGGGGTAGAGGCTTTCTCTGACTGCCTGCGCTATGAGATGCATCCTCTGGGTGTGAAGGTCTGCGTGGTGGAACCTGGCAACTTCATCGCTGCCACAAGCCTCTATAGCCCCGAGCGCATCCAAGCCATTGCCAATAAGTTGTGGGACGAGCTGCCTGAGGTGGTGCGCAAGGACTATGACAAGAAGTGTTTTGATGAGAAGACCGCCACCATGCGTACCTACTGCAACAGTGGCTCCACTGACATATCCCCTGTTATCAACGCTATCACCCATGCCCTGACCGCTGCCAAGCCTTACACCCGCTACCACCCCATGGACTACTACTGGTGGCTGCGAATGCAGATCGTGACCCACTTGCCTGGGGCCATCTCCGACAGGATCTATATACACTGAAGAGTTTCCGGCTGGCCTCTGCCGGGAGCCCTGGTGGGAGGGAGGACGGAGCTTGGACAGTCACTTCTTCATTACCCACTCGTGGGTAATCCACCGTCCCTGGAGGACCCCACTGCCAGTTTTAGTGTCAGCCAAGGGGTTAGCCAGCCCAGGCCTCCTCGGTGCGGTTGCAGAATGATGGGCAGGGCCCCTATACCTCAGGGCAAACATGTTGCAACTACCTTTCTATAGTTGATTTCATACAAAGATTTTTTGGAAATATCTTTATATTAAAAGCAGATTTATTATAAAATAGAATCCAAATCCTTTACATTTTTAAGTCAAAATCCCCATTCAAAAAATTTATCTCATTGCATCCTGGAGCCAACCTCATGAGTAAGGGAACAGATTTCTTTCTTTTGTATGCAAAGAATTTGTAGCACAAATTGGATACGTGAATAATCTTTTTATTGCTTCTGAATGGTCCAAGCCACGTGTTCCTGTCCCTGCTGTAGCATTGCTTCACACTTTGTGTTACAGGGTGCTCTGGATCCAGCCGAGTCTCCTCCGAGAGCTCTACGGCCTTGCCCGAGCCTTACTTGCCACGTGCCCATCATTCACCTCTGCGTGTGTGTGGTGCTGGTGTGTGTGGCCATAGCCGGCAATTCAGAACTGTGTGGAGAGAGTGGGGACATTGTGAAGATTTCTACTTGCAGATTTCTCCAACCCCTTAAGACTTAGGACTGACTTGTGGAGGTGCTCTTTGGCTAAAAGAGTGGTTTCTGGTTTGAGACTGCTTGGTTTTGCTTGGGGCGGAAACTCCATTAATGGGGCATTCTTGGCAGGAGCTATGGTACAAAGGCCAGACACTGGCACCTTCTCCAGGTGTGGGTCTGGAGTCTCTTCCTGTCTTGTATGATGCTCACACTCACACATTCACACACACATTTGTTCTGTGGAGCTCAAGATGGCCTTTGTTGATGGCTTGCCTTCCTGCTGTGGCCCTATTTTTAATTAGGAAGCAAGGTCACTGATAGGTAGAGTCTGAGTTATCACTTCTAGGGTTTGGGTTTGAAGGCTGCTGTCCTTGAAATTTTCCAGGGTCTGATGTTTGGACCAAAGCCAGACACTACCCTCCTCCAGGTGGTTTGCAGGCCTAGGACTGGCTCCTGAGTGCTCACTCCCACAGAAAAATGGGCCCTTCCACTCTCCTTGGGACGGCCGGGACGGCCGCTAGAGGGCCCGCTGCCTCCGCAGCCTCTGCTCCCCGCTGGGAGCTTCCACTCAAGCCCGAGGTCTCTCAGCGGTTCCTGATCCCCACTGGCACAAACACGAGAGGCCCTTTAGAAACAGCGTTCCCGGGTAGCTGGGACTGGCCGTGGGGCTCAGGCAGTGCCAAGGAAAAGCAGGTCCCACAACGGGCAAATTCACCCTGCCCTTCGGGCCTTTGTGCCCTGTCTTCAATCATGGATGCCCTGTCCCAGCTCCGTTCTGCAAAGTGAGGCCAAGAGGGCCCGCAGGGATGACAGGGAAGGCAGACAGGTCTGAAATTCTCCAGAGACCAGAGGGACATTTGATGGCCATCATGTTTATATAACATTAAGATTCTTTTGTCTCACAAAGCTTGCCTTTCAGAATTGCATTTTCACATCTTCTGTTTTCATGCTTAATTTTATTAAAGGGAAATGAATGTAACACTTGTCACACAAGTGCATGGATAGCTGGGAACTAGCAGGAAGCAGAGATGGGCACATGCTCTAAGTTGGGTCCAGCAATAAGCTGAACACTGCAGAACCTGCCTCCAAGTCTGCTGGGGTCTCCAGGAGAAAAAGAAAACTGCTAGGCTGGCCTGCAGCTGCCCCGATTTTTAATTTTTATCCTCATGACTGAAAAGCACAGAGAACGTCCCTCTCCAGATAATCTAATGCTAGTTCAAACCTCACATTTACCATTCATTTTTTGGCAGCTTAGTGCCTGCAGAGGTGCAGGTCTAGTTCTGATCCTTACAAGAGCTCACTGAGGTGGGCAGAAGAGAAGAGATGGCTGTTCCCAAGAGGGGAAGCAACTCTAGCATCACAGTGGATCCGGGCAGACCCAGCACCAGCATGAAAGGCTCCCGAGTGCTGCTGTTCACTTACCTTGTGGCCCCGACAGCCCTGGGAACCTTCACTCATTGTCAGCAGAGAGCTGCCCCTCCTTGTGGGGTTGAGGGGAAGGAGGAGACTTTTCAGAGGCTGTCACCCAGGTCTCACCATCCAGTCCTGCCGGGAACCAATGACACTGCCTTAGGCAGGAGCACCATCTGTAGCATACACTCCTCGGAAGGATTCACTGGGTCAGGGAGGCTTGAAGATGCTTCTCCCGCTGTCTGAGCCTGTAGCACTGGTCTGGGCCCCTTGATAAGTACACCCACCTCCTAGTCAGCAGGTGCCTGGTTCAGGGATGAGGATTCCTGATCTTACTTGATCTTCCCAGGGCCTGTGAGGTGGGGAGAGAGTCCAGCATCCCTTGCCAGTCCCACTCTGCCACCCCTGTGGTGTGAACTTCAGCAGGTGGGTCTCAGTCCAGGGCCTCAGTTCGAGCCTCCTGCTGGAGGAGGGAAAGCATGTAGATAAAGCCTCGAACTTGTGAAGTGTCAGGAGAGGCTCAGGTTGCACCCTGGACTTTGCCCAGTGGCACGTCTGTCTGTGAGACCCATGGCCTGCTGTCTTCAGCAGGCACTAAGCCTTCCCTGATGGCTGGAGGCTGGTGGAGGGTTTTTTGCAAGATGCTCCTGACAATGCCTTATTACAGAGCTATGCTTAACGTTCTACCCCAGGACCAAGGGGCACTGTGAGCAGGTGACTGGCCTGGCCCTGCCTGCCTCAAGCTGCTTGGGCTGTGCCTCTGCTGCCCACAGCAGGGGGCGTGCCAAAGGGTCCCCACTTGGGAGGCCTGCTCACCACCTGATTTAAACAGTGCCCAGCTCCGCAAAGTTGTGCGAACCTGGTACAGGTGCTGCAAGCAGAGGCTCCCCCAGCTCAGGTGGCATCAGGCTCGGGCTGCCAAGCAACAGCCAGAGACATCTGTATAGTCTGGGCACATTACACAGCCAGTTCACCCCTTTCTCTCTCCGGATTCTTGCAGCGGCCCTGGGAGGTAAGCAGGGTGGAGTCAGTATCTCATTTTATACCTAAGCAAACAGACTACTCCAAGTCTCTCAGCAAGTAAGGGATTCAACTGGGAAGCCAAATTAGATTTAACCTCCAACCCAGAGCTAGTGATGCATGAAAATCATGGCAGCTGGCATCAGGATCCAAAATAAGAAGGAGGAAATGCATCCATTATGTAACAGTGGGAAAATCTGTACACACATGCCCAGTGACAACTGCAGTGTGCTGCCACGTGAGCCAGCTGCTGCTTCCCTCCCTTCTGGGCTCTGGATGCCACTACCTAGGAGAGAAGGTACTGGAGGCGCCCACCAGCAGCCCTCCAGCAGGAAGTCTGCCTTGTCTGGACTAACACCGCCCCTACCTGGGGCATTTCCAAGGGCTCTATGAACACCCTAACCCAGACCTTGGCAGAGAGATTCTGGAGCTGCTCATTGAGGGTTAATGAGCACAGAGCTTGAGAATCCTCAGGTGAGGAGATGGAACAAGCAGGACTATGGTGCTGTGTGCTCTCATGGAGCCTGAACAAACCAACCCCAGCACCATAAGGCCTTCACCATGTCGATAGGCACCAAAGGAGGTGGTTTCTGAGTGGTGACTTTAGAGGTATAGGGTAAGCACCAAGGACCAGGCCATGGGCTGGGGCTGGGAGAGGCTGCCAGGAACCCCAAAACTCAGAGAAGGAAAGATGGGGCTCAGCTCTCATCAAGCCTGAGTCTCCACTTCCTGGGGGCCTCCTGGGGGCGGGCCCAGATTTGAAACCCTCCAGTGACAGAGAACTCATCACTTCCCCCAGATGGTGTTTCCTTGGTTGGGGAAAATTTATCCAAAGACTGAGTGGAAATCTACCACCTCTAACTGAATTCCTTTGGCACTTGGCTTGACTCAGACCCACATGGAACAATTTAAATCTCAACTAGTCCACTGGATACTTGGAAATGGACCAGTCAGGTCAAGAGTCCAGGGCCCTCATTCTGCAAGGTTTTCATACCCCTCACTGTCTGAGCACAAGGTTGCAGCTGTGGTTATCTCAACCCTCATTCTTGATGACACACACCAAGCTGAGTGGCCACCTGAGTCCCCTCATGCAGCCAAAAGCTTTGACCCAGGTTTGAATACACTTGGGGAGCTGCTGGGAGGTCCTCACATGCACATGCCCCTTCACAACTAATCGAGTGTGCTCACAACTTATCTTTCATCTGACCCTCATAAACAGCTTGTGACTTAGGCAAGACCATATTCCCATTTTACAGATGAGGAAACTAAGTCTCAGGGAGGAACAGCTACTTGCCCAAGACCACAGAAAGTAGGAGAGCCAAGAAAGAATCCCAGGCCTTCCCTAGGACCCCTCCCTTTAGCCCCCAGCTGACCTCAGTCTCCCTCATCAGGGACCTTGAACTGGGCTATACTCTGCTCAGTCAGAGGCTGACCATGTGGCCTGTGAGGTGTGGGGAGCATTAAACTCAACTTTTTCCTAGCCCACAGTTCTTCAGAAAGCAGCAGAGAAGGGAGGCTGAGTCTCTCCTGCATCTCACCGCAACTGTGTCCATTGTGTCTATGGGATCTGGCAGTGGCCTGAGCACTACGGAGTGCTGGAGGTGTAGAAAGCAGGGCCAGGAAGTATTCTCAGGACAGTGGCTGAGGACCATCCTGGCCTTGGCATCCATGAATATATGTTAGAGCAGAGAGTATAAATGGGAACCAACCTTAGGGGATGCTGAGGCCCCCAAACACCTTGTACTGTTCTCTCAGTGAGACTTAATCACTCTATAAAATGTAAGGCTGCTTCCACTCATCAAATTATAGATGAGCTTAATCACAGCTCCCTGAGTAATCACATTGGGGTCCTTCAGAAATAGCAGTGAGCTGGCTGCTCTTCTCAACTTCAGCTGCACTCAGCCCTACCCCCACCCCCACCTCAACCCTGTTTCAAGAGGAACTGTCCATCTTCCTGGGGTTGTCGGTGCTGCTAAATGGTGCTCTCAGATGATGTGAGCTGACTTGACAGACTGCACTGGGCTCTGTGGCTACTGCCACTACTGGCTCACTGGGACCACTCCCAGCCAGTGAGCTTCTGCTGGACCCCTGGCTGTGAGCTCTGCTCCCGGGTTGTTTACTCTCTCTCTCCTAATTATATTGTATTTTGGCCAAAAATTTTGACTCAATGTTTGATCAAAGGTATACAAAGTGTTATGGGACTTACCATAAGGAAAAAAGAAAGAACATGGTATTGAATAGAAATTTAGGGAAATTCAAGGGCACCTTCAAGGAAACAGGGTAAAGAGCAACAGATCACTAGGACCTGATGAAAGTTCTATGACATTATAAAGGGCATCATAAACTTCCCTGTGGACAGGGAGGGTCAATAGACTTGTTTCAATGGAACAGACTGGCACGTGATTTCAGGGGATATTGATGGGAATGGAGGAGCTACTGCTGATGATAATACAAGTGCCCTCAGTGTTCCCATATTCAGACATCAACCCTATGCTTAGTAGCATCTGTTTTCACTCCTTGTTCCCTTTATTATTTGAGTTTTTTCTCTGTGGCAGGCCCTGTCCTGAGCAGGAGTGTCCAAGGCAGGCATCCCACTGCCCTCCCAGAGCTCAGGAGGCCAGAAAGTTTAACCCAAGGTGACAAGTGCCATGATTTGGGGGAGGAAATGAAATGCTTTTTTTCTACCAGAAATACATAAAACTTAAGCTACACACAACTTAATTTGTCTTCTTCCCTGCCCAGCCTTGGAGCTTTAGGTCAATGGCATACTGAGGTCTGTCCAGAAAAAAGTCAAACCATTGTTAATATAACAAGAATGGTTTGCACAACATCGTGTAACCTGACAGCCAAGGAGAGTGGACTGGAAGGTGTGAACAATGACGACTTCACTGTGCTAGTCAGTGAGGGCAGTAGATGCCATTGAGTGAGCATGTGCACTGTGTGTCCATTGTATTCAACTGATTGAGTGAGTAGAGCAATGGATCCGCATCAAATTTTGCATTAAGCTTGAACATTCAGAAACTATCTGGATGACTCAGAAGGCCGCAGCTATGGACAGCTGGTGATTGGCAGCTTCGTCATGACAATACTCCCGCTTCATGCTTCATATCTCACACAGAGTTTTTTGGCAAAATGTCAAATCACCCAGGTGACTCAACTGCCCTGGGTTGAGTCATCTCAACAACCCAGATTTGGTGCCCTGCAACTTCTGGCTTCTCCCAAAACTAAAATCATCTTTGAAATGGAAGAGATTTCAGACCATTGATGATATTCAGGAAAATACGATGAGGCAGCCGATGTAAAATGGGAGAACTGTGTGAGGTCCCAAGATGCCTAATTTGAAGGGGACTGAGGCGTCATTGTCCTATTTACAATGCTTCTCGTATTTTGTATCTTCCTCAATGAATGTCTTTGTTTTTCATGTTACATGGCTGGATACCTTCTGGACTAACCTTGTATGTGAGGGACCATGAATGGGCAAGGGTCTTTCCCTTGCTCAGTTGTTTAGTGCTCAAGTACCTGGCTCCCAGCTGCCTAGCTGGCCTAGACAAGCCAGAGGCTTGGGGCAGAGATTGCTACAGGTCTCTGATATCCAGTCTTCTCTTCTATAGGAATATATACATCAACATATGGCTGGGCCCATGGCTATCTATAATAAAGACTATACTTCTAAGATTCCCTTGCAGCTAAAGGTGATCATGTGACTATGTTCTGGCCATTGGCATATAAGCAGACATAGTGTACAACAGCCTTCAGGAACCTTCCTTAAGAGATAGCTATAAGCCCCCTTTGGCTCCTTCAACCCTTCAATTCTACTGCCTTAAACTTGGATGCTGCCATCTTGGACCATGAGGTCAAAATCATGTATGGACATTACAAAATAGTGTCTGGATGCCAGACACTGGAAACTACTTTCCACTCTTGACCACTCATCTTGATTTTACGTGAAAAGAAATAAACTTCTGTCTTTTCTGTATTACTACTATTTTGGAATTATTTTTTTCTAGGCAAAGTAAACCCTAGGTAACATAGGCCCCAGCTGGACCAAGGATGGGAAAGCCATTGCACACACCTAGGGGCAGGAAACCACATTTGATAGCAATAATTATAAGCATTTACTGAGCACTTCCTATGTGCCAGTATGTGCATTATTCCATTTGATCCTTCCAGTAATACTAAGAGGCAAGATTTATAATCCCAATTTTATAGATGATTTAACTGAAGCTTAGGTTTAAATACCTTACCTAATCAGTCAGAAAGTGACAGGATTCAGAACCAGACTCTCTTTAACTCCTGAGCACAAGCCCTGACTGTTTCTCAGACAAAGAGCAGGGTTCCTGCCAAGCTGGCTGCAACCTCCCTGACCTCTCTTGGGCCAGTGGGGGCTGTGGCTCAGCTCAGATGGAAAGGAGGCTATGACTGTGCTGAAACTGGTATAAATCGGGCTGAGACTGGGCCACCAAAAGTGTAGTACTTATCCCCCAACACAAAATTCTAAGACTTGAAATATTTTTGAGGCCTAGCTCCTCTACCTAATGAAGATGTTCCCTCAAGAGCATCCCCAGGCCCTTGCTGGTGTGGCTCAGTGGATTGAGCGACAGCCGGCAAACCAAAAGGTTGCCGGTTCAATTCCCTGTCCGGGTACATGCCTGGATTGCAGGCCAGGTCCCCGGTTGAGGGTGTGTGAGAAGCAACCCACTTATGTTTTTCTTCCACATTGATGTTTCTCTCATTTTCTTGCTCCCATCCTTTCCGTCTCTCTAAAAATAAATAAATAAAATCTTAAAAAAAAGAAGAACATCCCCAAGGAGATCATCTGCTTTGGGCTGAATGTTTGTTTTCCCTCCCCAGCCCCCCTTCAGATATTGAAATTCTATCCCTCAAAGATGATAGTATTAGGAGGTGGGGCATTTGGAAGGTGCTTAAGTCATGAGGGTATAGCCCTCCGGAATGGGATTAGTGCCTTATAAAATAGGCTCCAAAGGACTCCCCAGCCCCTTCCACCAGGCATGGGAGGACACAGTGAAAGGAGCCAGTTATGAGCCAGGAAGAGGACCCTCACTGGACCATACTGGCACCTTGATTTTGGACTTCCCAGCCTCCAGAACTATGAGAAATACATTTCTGTTGCTTATAAGCCACTGTCTGTGGTACTTTGTTACAGCAGGCCAAGCTAAGAAACCATCTCTTAGATGGCTCAAGACTCTTCTTCTCCCACCTCCTCCTCCTCTTCTTCCCTCTTGATTTTCTTCCTTCTCCTCTCCTCTTTCTCTTCTGACCCTCACTCCTCCTCCTCCTCTTCTGAGGACCATAGAGGTTGTACCAGAGGCCCCTTAGACAGCATGGCCTCCCCTAAATGATCTTTTGTTTATCTTCAAAGATTTCCATGGAGGATCAACCTCAGAATGTCTAAGACAAAGGATTCCACTAGATGAAGGGTGTCAAACTCATTTTCACCAGCAGCCATATCAGCCTTGCAGTTGCCTTTAAAGGGCAGAATGTAATGTTAGGGCTGTATAACTGTAACTACTCCTTAACAGTTAAGCAAGAACTCGATGTTGTTGCTGGGTAGAAACAAGGTGCCAGGCCGGATAAAACAAGCTGGAGGGCCAATTCAGCCCACGGGCCTTGTGTTTGCTACCTGTGCACTAGATAGTCAGGAACCCTTGATGCTCATCACCTTTCTGCTACCAAGTTCCCTTGTCGCTTGGGCAAGTCCCTTCTCCTCTCTGGGCCTCACTCTCCTCATCTTAAAAGAATAGTAATGATAACAATAACAACCATTCCTAACACACATTTTTTTCCTGTGACTCAGGCTCAACACGTTTAAGTGCATTACATACACTAATTCACTTAATTCTTACAATGACCCTGTGAAAACAATACTGTCTCCCTTCTCATTCTACAGATGAAGAACCTGAGACACAGGTTTTTAAGTTGCCCAAGGTCATGCACTACAAAGTGAAAATGAGAACAATAAACTCAAAAGAGGACATAAGTCTCATACAGAGTCTCAATGTAGTAAAGGTCAAAGTTGCGGTCCTGAGTAGAATGGGGAGTGAGTCTCAGCTCTCATCCCTTGTCCTCCCTTACACTATGGTGGAGGCCTCTCCTTAGTTGTAGAACACTGTGAAAGCCACAAAACTCTGTAGTCTCTGAAGGCCCCTCCAGCTCGAACATCCTGAGAGTATCTCATGGCCAGGAATAGCCAGGGCTTGGAAGGCCCTGAACATAGAGGATGTGGTGCTCTGGCAGATGCCAGCAGAGACTGGGGTGAGGGGTTTGCTCAGAACCTGTCTGCAAGTTCCTCTACAAAATGACCTGTCTCTTTTCTAGGTGAGCAAAATCTCCACCTGGAGAGATCAGGCTCAGGAACCTTTCACTCAACCTCAGCTCCTTTCAGAAAGCAAGTGTTCTTTAAACTAATGGCAACACCACTCCCTAGATCAGAGAAATGGAGGCAGCCATGTCATTTAGGCAGGCAGATGCCAGCGGGCATAGCTGCAGGACCTTCTGCAGCCTTCCCTGGTCAGCCCCCAGTAGCACCTGTCCTCTGCCTGGTTCACCTCTTCAGTAGCTCCAGAGGTGCCAGCAGCGGGGACCCTCCCACAGGAGGCAGCACATCCCAGCGATCCCAGTGGCCTTGGGATCCCTGCTGGTTCCACGCGTCTCCTCGTGAAGCTTACCTGTCCTGCCTCTTCCTGCCTCCCAACTGAGCAGCTGGGGTGCATTCCTCCCTCCTCTCTGGGCCACACGGATGTATATCAGAGGATAATTGCCTCCCTCAGCTCTTTTGGGACCTAGGTCAGATTTCTAAGTCTCTTAGCAACAATGCCCTGTGCCTGGTCTTCAGTCCCTGTCCACCTCTCCCATATTAATATGCTGGACTGATTGTGGGTCAACTGTGCCCACTCCCCATCCCAGGCTGTCAGCTTCCCAGGGCAGGAAGCCAACCCAAGAAGCCCACCAAAAGTCACTTTCTGCCTTGTGGCTCATGACCTGCCCTGTAACCACTGGTGGAAGACATTTGGGGCCCTTCTGCAGCTGAGTCAGTCTTATGTTGGCCACCAGCAAAGCCTGGCTGCCAGGTCTCAGAGGAGCAAGGGAGAAGGCAGAGCCAAGGCAGCTGGAAGGAATTCCCTTTTGTCTAGTTTTGCAGGGCCTGCTTCTGCTTTATTTCAGCAAGGGGCTCAGCACTTGGAAACATCCTGCCAAACATTCTTGTTTTCAAAGGAGACTACAGCCCCCAGTGCCCTAGTAAGATTTGTTCATTGCAACTGTGTCAATACATTGCCCCCATTTATTACCCCAGGCCCCCTTTCTGAGCCTTCTTCTTCAGGATGTGTAAGTAGTCTGGAAGTGGAAAAACCTTCCATTTTCCTTTGATGTGCCGTTGAACTAGAGACACCTGTGCTGAGGGTTAGAGGCCTGAGCTGAAGGTGGTTTGCAGAATTTGTTTGTTTTAACCACTGGTTTATTGTGTGGTTTGATCACATTCCATCCTCTCTTCAAGCTTCATTTTTTCCATCTGCACAATAAATCAGTGGTACTTCCTGGAGTCTCAGCAATTCTTCAGAAGTAGCTGATAAGGGGTTTGCTTTAAGATCTTATGAAAAAAGGGTTCTAATAAAAAAAAGTTTGGAAACCACTGGCCCAAATGATTTCACACCTGTGTCAAGGAATTATCTGTTTAGGTCTCTGACTGGAAACTTTTCTTTAGGCTTAATCACCACAAGGTCCCTGAGTCTCACATGTCTTCTCTAGGGGTGACCAGGCTGAGTACAACACTGGTGATTGAGGGGCATTGTAATGCAAAGGACCCACCGCCCTGGGGTAGCCCCAAGTAAGGAGAGGAATTAAATAACTCTGCAAAGCTTTCCTGCATCCTGAGGTTGAAGGTCTTTCTATTCCCACCCCTCCCTCCTGGTCCAGGCCCCCTCTGCCTTTTTCTCTTACAAGTAATGATGCCAGCAATGTGCTCTCATTGGACACAGCAAACCTATAATGGAGGGAGGGAAAGAAAGATTTCCCCCACTTTACAAATGAGAAAACAGGTTCAAAGAGAGGAAGGCATTGAGCAAAGTGACAAAGCAAGTGTTTGGGAAAATGGTGTAAGAATTCCAGCATCCTGATGACTTCAGGTGAGCCGGGACTCCTGCCAGCTGAGGGACAGTGCTGAGAGGTGTGATGCGGTGAGAGGGAAGATACCCTCTGGCTGAACCAAGCCACCCTCTTCAATCTGCTCTAACAGCCAAAACAGGCTGAGGCAGGAAAGTCTGCGATGTTACTTCTCTTGATCCCCTGGGATCCGCTGAACACTTCCTAGGGCTCCTGAGCCAAGACACTGTAAGAGACGAACAGAGCATGCTGGCTGGACCAGGCCACAGGTAGGAGGGCCCTGATCCCATGACTCCCCTCGCCCTTAACACATGCACACCTGGCAGTGAGGAGGTCCTCATCCATGGCAAGTTCCCTGGCACTGGAGTGCTGTTAGCTGAAGGGCTTTTCCTGCCAGCCAGTGCATAAGGCTCTGAGAATCTGCCTTGAGCATCACTGGCAATTTCTTAGCTTCCTCTACATTTTCTAAGACAGGCCTAGCATGTCCTCAAGGAACACTGAGTGGAAATCAATATTCTAGTCACATCTCTGGTGTCTGTAATCCCTCCCACTTGGGCTGCACTTGGGGTTTAGAAGCACATTCACACCAGACTGGGAGAGAGGCAGAGTAGACCACAGCTTTATCCCTGTTTTATAAATCGGACAAAACAGAGACTCAGGGAGAGGGATGACTTGTCCAAAGTCACACATGACATTAGAAGGCCCAGAACTGTAACTGAGCTGCTGCTGTGTTGGGCTGGTGGCCTTACTGTGTCAATCCCAGCAGCCTCTCTAACAAAGGTAAGACCAGAGTATCCAGAGTATCCACCCTCATTTCTGGCATTTCCCTACAACAAGCAGCCCCACTTACAATCAGAAAGCGGAGACGGGGTTGTTAGGGGACAAAAGTCACACAACTGACTTGGGAAAGAAATCTTTTCCATGCCCTATCCCAGCCCTGGCCAGCCCAGGGGAGTGGGGGTCAGAAGTCTGGGAACTGGTGTCTGGCTCAACAGCAGGTTCTCTGGCGGGCCATGGTCAGGAGGGCATTCCTTTCGAAGTCTGTAAAATGGGGGAAAGCACTAGAATCACTATTCTTAAATACCTCATATTGGGATTACCTAGGAAATTTTGTACAAGACTTTGATATTGGGGCTTCGCCCAGGCCTAGTGGACCAGTCACAGGGTTGGGCAAATCTGTGGGAACCTGCACTGTTAGCTGGTCCCCTGGGAGATTCTGAGGCCCCCTGAGAGCGTCAGACGGGATGGTCTCAAGGGCCTACCCTGCTCTGACATCCCATTATTCAAGGCAGCAGGAAGTGGTGGTTGCACTTGGACTCACTGCTGATATCCTCCCAGGTCTTATTCTTTATAGTAAACCCAGGATCCTAGAAGTGGAAGATATCTTGACCTGATTATCAGAGTGCAGTCTCTTCCAGGAAAAGTACAATTATGAGAAAGCCCAGGAGGGGCAGGATTTTGCATTTTCTCAAGGCCATGAATGAACCGTACGTTCTTCGGGCCTCTGCCTTTCAAGGTGTTTCCCAGACCACCACTCTGGGGTGTGTTAGGTGACTAAACCTACAGGTGTATCCTGACAATTGGATGATTTCTTTTTTTTTTTTAATTTATTTTTTTAAATTGATTATGCTGTTACAGTTGTTCTATTCCCCCCTTCATTCCCCTCCACCCTGCCCCCCATCCCCACCATTACCCCCCTTTAGTTTATGTCCATGTGTCTCAAGTCCTTTAGGTTCTATATTTCCCATGCTATTCTTGCCCCCCCCCATCTATTTTCTATCTACTGTCTATGCTACTTATTTTCTGTACCTTCTCCCCCCATCTCCTCCTCCCACTCCCCTGTTGCTAACCCTCCTTGAGATCTTCATTTCTATGTTTCCACTCCTGATCTAGCTGTTCTTTTAGTTTGCTTTCGTTTTAGGTGTGGTTGTTAATAACTGTGAGCTTGTTGTCCTTTCACTGTTCATGTTTCTTTAACTTCTTTTTTCTTAGATAAGTCCCTTTAACATTTCATATAATAAGGGCTTGGTGATGATGAACTCCTTGAATTTGATCTTATCTGAGAAGCACCTTATCTGTCCTTCCATTCTAAATGAAAGTTTTGCTGGATAGAGCAATCTTGGTTGTAGGTCTTTAGATTTCATGACTTGGAATATTTCTTTCCAGCCCCTTCTTGCCTGTAAGGTCTCTT